CCATTCATTTAGTTATATACCTGAGAGCGGACTTGCTGGGTCATATGGTAATTCCATGTTTAACTTTTTGAGGAGACACCAAACTTTTTACTCTTTTAATTTGTTCTCTAGAAACCTTGCAATTACATAGGTGGCTTGCATTATATTTCTCTTGGAGAGCGCTGCTCTAGATGTTTCTTTCTGCCCAAGAATTCCCAGATGCTAACCTCTCGTGTCTGTATACCGCCCTATCTGCCAAACAGGATTGGAGGGATATAATACTATAAAGGAGATGACAGGAAACTGAAAATCATTATGCCAAGAGTGAAAGAGAGTCAAAAGAATAATAGAGAGGGTTATCATGAAGAGATTAAGTGCAATTCAGTAGAGATCTGGAGTATAGAGCCGGCTATGTACCTTTTTCTCAGGGTGACTGGAAAAGGCTGCGAGGAACTCAGACAATACTGAACTTTTCCCTTAATTAGGCTTCCAAAATGGATCGGTTCATTTCTCTTGCCTGGAAGTGGTCTATGACTTAGACCTCTGCTGCCCTCTGGTGGCTCTGAGAATAAAAGCACCCCGCCAAGAATTCTTCTCAAAACTCCCCACCCATTGTTGTTCCCACTAGCGTCCCCAAAGCAGCGGAGCCCAGGATCTGAGGAGAGGAGCATCTGAACTCCCCACCACTCTAAATAGGCCTTGAGCCCTCGCTGAATAGCCGCACCCCATCTTCAGTGTCTGGGCTCCGCCCCCACCCTCACAAACTGCCTTTCATTTCCCTGCCCTGGTTGCAAGGGGAGAGGGGGGCTCCTGGTTCAGGCTGGAGCTGGGACCCAGGTCACTCCAGAAGAAAGCAATTCAAGAGCTGCTATCTGATGTTCGGTATGTAAGACCAGGAGGGCAGAGTGACCAGAATATGAATGAGAAAGCATGAAAGAGAGAGTATGAATAGGTCACAGATACCCAGGGCCAAGATCCTCCCACCTGGGACCTGCTCTGCCAGACAGAGTCTCAGGGCTAGAAGGGACTGTAACTCTTGTGGAACTGATATTTGTCTCTTTCTCTGTCCCCTTCTCTTTTTCTCCCTCCCTCCCTGTCCCTCTCCCTCCCTCCCTTCCTCCCTCCTTCCCTCCCTCTCTCTCTCCCCCCTCTCCCTTTCTCTCCCTATAGAGAGAGAAGCAGCCCACCCCAGCTCACGCAGCCAGTCTGGACTGGAATCCAGAGTTTCCCCTGTCTGTCCCTTTTCCTTACTTCCAAAAATATCACAACTGATCCCAAACCACTTGCCTACCTCCATTTTATAGTGAGAGAAAGAATACCAAAATTGTTGAAGCATACGGACCAAGGTTCAGACTAGCCCTGCAACTCACTCTGAGACCCTGGGCCTGTTATTTAAATGTTCTGTTTCCTCATGTGAAAGACACAGGACTTCCCGGGGCCGCTGTGCATGTCAGGTTCTTAGCCCAGCACCTGGGACATCGTCAGTGCTCAGCGAGCGTTAGCTGTTAACTCTTTGGGGGGGCTTCTTCATTCTTTTCCGGAGCTTGTGAATCTATAGGAAGCTGGCCTTCTAGGCACCAACCCCCCTGACAAGAGGACTTACCTTGGGTAGGAAAAGGAAAGTGGCCCTCAAGAGCTCCCCCTTGCCAGGGGCACAGGTTGCGCCTCTAGCCCCTCTCACCCCACATATCCCACTTACCAATGACATTATGCCGCCCGGAGAGCAAGATCCAGAATAGCAGCAGGGAGAGGATGCAGAGCCCACGATGTCACTGAGGCAGCACACGTGTGCAACCTGGGGCCTCCACCACTTGATGGTCAAGGAAAGGGATGGAGAAGTAGGGAGCTCAGAACCCACTGACTTTGGTCAAAGAACAGGTCAGAGATGACTCACACTTGAGGACTAGTAAGTATCAGAGCCCCAGAAATTTCTGCCCACTGTGCGGAAGGGTTGGAGGAGGTCATGGAGAGGACATGACTGCCAGTTGACATGCAAGCTGGCCCTGGGCAATCGGGGGTTCCTCCCCCAGCCCTGTCCTTGGAATGTACCTCCGCCCACCGTTCCCACAGTGGGAGCCATTTTCAAGGATGTAGCCTTGAGGGAGCGAGGTGTTGTTGAGACCCTCTGCCAGTGCGTGTAACTGAGCCCCATTAAGGCCTCTCTATAAACTGTTAAGGTTCTGGCAGGCAGGCGCTGAGATCTGCTGGCTTCCGGAGCCCAAGACAGCATTGTGTGTAAGTTCCCTTGCTTATTACACCTGCCACCTGCTGATCGGGAGTGATCTCTTTCCTTGTCTCAGCATGCCCTCTGCCTATGGGGTGCTGGTTTCAGATTTCACCCCCAAGTGAGCCACCGGGAAGCTGATGGGGAGGGGCATGTGTGGTTTTTCAGTCTGGTCAGAGCTAGTTTCAGGGTGTAAGGTTAGGGCATCCATTGGAGCAGGGTCCACTGAGACCTGCTCCCCCAGGCCTGAGGCTGAAATGGCCTTAAAGTGAGGAAGGAAAGGTTCTGATGGCTTCTTTGGTTTAGGGTACAACAGTAGGAAAAGAGGCCTAGAAAGGCCCCGGGGGCGGGGGAGGGGGACATGGAATTTGGCCCCATCTCAACCTTTGACCTCCAACTCCAACACAATCCCAAGGTCAAATTCCCCCCTTTGGATCATGCTTTCTCTCTCTCTCTCTCTTTCTCTCCCCTCCCCCTGCCCCATGTTGTTGCTCCGTGTGGACAGGGTGGGCTGCCCCAGATGAGGAAGAAAGATCTGGAAGGGACATCTCTCCTGATGCTCAGCCTGAGCTGCTCTGGGGCTCACATCTTCCTTTCCAGTCTAACCCCCACCCCCAGCAGAAAAATCACCCTTCAGTATTTTAAGATCCCAGGACTGCTGTTTTCACTGAAGACTTCTCCATATTGATTTTTTAGGTGGTATCCATGTATTATCTTGATTTTTTTAATAAATAATACAATAAGCAAAACAATGGAAGAGGAACCTACCAAAATGTTCAGCAGCCTATTACACTGACACCAGGGGATCCTCCTGGTTCCCTGCACTCTGAGCCTGGAGCTCTGAGTGTCCCTAGGATGGCCACTTCGGGGCTCATGCCAGCCACTCTTCTTCAGATCAAACACAGACATGTCTACTTAAAAAAAAATGAGTGTTCTGAACCCAGTAGAAACCAGAATTTCACAGGCCAGTGTGAAAACAGAGGGAAATGGGGCACAAAAAGACAGCAGTGATGGAAATTATTTTTAATTTTAAAGATTTTTATTTATTTATTGAGGGAGGAGCAGAGGGAGAGAGAATCTTAAGCAGACTCAGAGCCGGACACAGGGCTCCATCTCACGACCCAGAGATCACGACCTGAGCCAAAATCAAGAGTCGGACACTTAACTGACTGCGCCAACCAGGCACCCTGGAAGTTTTTTTTTTCTTCTTTAAATTTTTTTATTGTTATGTTAATCACCATACATTACATCATTAGTTTTTGATGTAGTGTTCCATGATTCATTGCCTGGAAGTTTTTTTTAAGTTGTAACTTGCCTTTTTCCATTAGAGTTGGGAATTACAAAAACATTTTTGCAATATTCAAGGTGAGCACTAATATTGTCTTTCTTGTTATAAAAGCCCTGCCTACTTAGCAATTTGTCCAAATTTTGAATGCATATGTCCTTTGGCCCAGTACCACACATGTGGTTCATTACTTACCTCCCCCAAAATCATTCTCTCCTTCCTTGCTAATAGAATCTCAGTTTTTAAACCCAGGTGGGCCCCACCCTCAGCCTCAAGGATGAAGCACATTTAAGACAGTCACATTTTCCCTTTCCCATTTGCAGACATTTGCTTTTCCAGCCAATGAGAGGATGAGGGAAATGTGGGGAGGGGTCGGCTTCCAGGGAAGATGGTCTCTGAGATTAAAAGGAGAGCACCATTTGAGGTGAAGGTCTTCATTACCCTCGCCACAGACCTTCCTGCTGTGACGTCCGGAGCTGCAGCAACTATCCTACACAGTGAGGTGAGCGTCATGAGGACAAAAGCCAGCACGCTGAGGTTGGTGGGGAAGGAAGGAAATGAGTCTGTTCATTAGTGCTGTGGGTGAGCTGCTGAACCAGCAGCCTCACTGCCTCTCTCCAGACTCTGATGTGAAAAAATTAAATGTCTTTATTGGCTAAGCCACTGTTAGTTGGGTTTTCTACTACTACGAAGCTCAACAAATTCCTAATGGACAGACTTGGGAATTATATTCATTTTTTCATTCATTCAACAAACACTGATTGAGGGCCTTTTTTTGGGTCAGGCTCTATTGGAGAAACCAGAATTCTACTACAAAGAATTTCCCCAGATTTACCTGCAAAAGTGGGCCAACATTTATATGTACAAGGATTAATGTCCACCAACAGATGACTAGTTAAAATTAGCTATTTTCATGGTGTCCCATTACAAGAATAATGTGATGACATAAATTTCTCCAGGATATAGAATGTGATCCATTTTGTATGCATTTTTTAATTTTTTTTTTTAATTTTTTATATTCTGAGAACCTAAAGACAACTCCTCCCTACAGTAAAGCTACCTGGAGGGGACAAACTGCCTGCCTTGGAGCCAAGGGCCAGCCCCCAAGGAAGGAGATCCAAGGTGGGAACATCCAAGGGACTATAGTAAACTAGTTGCCTACCCCTGTCCCATCCCCAACTCACATTCTCCGATAAAAGAAAAGTCAGCTGGCCCAAGAAGAGGCCTGAGGGTCCCACCCCTGAGGCTTGAGAGAGACATCTGCGGCAAGTCAGCCTAGGCTGAGCTCCCACCCACCTCTGCCCTCGCCACCAGGGCAGCACCCACATTCAGTGTTCTCATTAAGTCCCGTAATCCTGCCAACATGCTCAGACCCCCTAGCTCTCTCCCCGTCCTGGCCCTCAAACAGCACAGACAAGGTCAGCACAGTCTTTATTGGGGAAAAGCAGCGCCAGACACCATTGCTCAAACCCACGACTGTTTCCCGTGCTCAGGGCAGCAGCAGGAACAGAAGCAGGGCAGAGAGGGCAACGAGAGCCCCCAGGAGGGTCACAGCCCCAGGACATCACCCTCTCCTGGCAGCCAGGACAAGCCCCCTGTAGTCACCAAAGCAGCTCCGAACAAATCAGGACAGCTAAGGCACTGGGGTCTCTGCAAAAAGAAGAAGCATCGGGTCACAGCTGTGCCCTCCTGGCTCCAGCTCCCCTCCAACCTAGAGACGCTCGGCATGCACTGCTCCCCAAAGCCTTGGATGGCGCCCTGCTTCCCAGACACTCCAGTCCAAACTGGCAGCGAAGACCCTACTCACTCAGCTGTCAACCTTCTGCCTCCAAGCACCAGCCCACCCTCGCCCGACCCCCAAATGCGTCACACGCATTCCACCCTTTGTGCCTTTACTAACCACCAGACCCCTCCTCCCCCACTCTCGTCCAGCATGTTCTCCGTGCTTTCCTCCCTTTGTCACATCCTGCCTACCCTTCAGGGCCCAGATCTAATCCTACTTCGGGCAGAAAGATCTTCCCAAGGAGCCACGCCTACTCTGAGAGCCTAAAAGCCCACGCGGTCTACAAAAAGGGTTCTCGTCTGGGGCATAGGATCTTTTTCTCCCACTCGACTCTCCAGGGCAAGAACTTTGTCTCGACCCTCTGAAGTCCCCTACCCAGCACCTAAGCCAGTGGTCTACACACAGCAGCTAAGTGCGCTCTTATCAGTGATGCTGGACCTGACTTACCTAAGGCAGAATCAGAGCGGAGGGTCCAGTTGGGGTTTGTGGCCAGTTCTGGTGGCTGAACGGGTGGGACACAGAAGCGGCCACAGCCTGACTTGCAGCACTTTTGCCCGGCCTGGCAATTCTCGTCCATCATGCAGTTGACAATGCACAGGCCCACCAAAATGTGTGGACAATCACCAGCCCGCCCTGCAGGATAAACAGGCACAGGTAAAGAGACTCGGAGGCTCCAGAGGAATCCATCCCTGACTGTAACTAGATATTGACCAAAGATCTGCCTGGGGAACCTGGGAGCTAGAGCCTCTGAGAATTGGTGGGGTCCCAAGAGAGCATCGGGACCAACAGTTTTCAAATGGCATCTCACAGAGTTCCCTGGAGGTCCCTTGGTTTGATCCTTCTGTCGGTGGGGCTGGGTGGAGTGCCAAGGAGCCCCCCACTGCCTCCCCCATAGCTGGGCCTCCCAGTGTCCCTTCCTCAGGGAGGCCTCCTCTGCCATCCCAGACAAGGTTTGGCGCCCTGCTTTGTGCTCCTCTCATCAGAATTCATTACAATTCCTGATCTGTCTCCCTTCCCTGAGAAGCTAATAAGGACAAGAATCTGTCTTCAGAACCTTGAACGCTGCCTGGGAATCTACATGTTGTCTAAAAACAACATCTGAGCCAGTGATTCTGAAGTGGAGTTCCACAGTGCCTGGTACAAAAGGAGCATTCAAAAAATAGGGATTTGTTTAAAAAATATATATTGAAACTAAAGAAATCAAATCAGGAATGCTTTTATCTGTTGCAGATATGTTGCTAAGAATCTGGTCAGAAAACCATGATCTTGGGCAATTCCCTCACTTTACAGACGAAGAAACTGGCTCAGGAAGAGTCTCCTTCTCCGAGGTCACATAGCCAGTCAGCAGCAGAACCAAGACCACACGCCAAGCTACCTGTCTTCCAGACTCGGGACTTTTCCTACTAACCCACACTGCCTTCCCCTAGTTCTTTCGACGCCAGCACGGGCCCTTGGGCCCCAGGAGGAGGGGTGGCTTTGGGTTGGGGGCTAGGAGGACAGGAGGGAATGAGAACTCTGACTCCCCCCAGGAAGGGAAAGACAAGGAGGCCACAGATGGCTCCCTCCCCAACCAACCCTGGAACTCAAGGATTCCTTCCCCAAGGGGCCAACATACCTCCCTTAATGTCTCCACGGCAGGAGTGGCCACAGCCGGTGCTGCAGCATTTATGCCCCTGGGGACAGGACTCGTCCCTGTCACACAGCTCCTCGCACGGAAGGGGGTCAGCAGGACATTCGCCACCAGACTCTGCCATAGAATCAGAGCATGGGGCCCAGAGATGTTTAGGCCCAGTGTTTCCAGTTATTTTCACTGTGACTCTTGAGTGCAAAATTTTATTTTTCATTGCGTATGTTAATCCATACACATGCTTAAAATGTAGGTATTTATGTGCATACATGTATATACTTTACAGTCTTTCTATTTCTTTCCTTTTTTTTTTTTAAATGCTGGTCATCAACTACTAAACTGATCTCAAGACTCGTAGTCTGGAAAACACTGTTGAGGTCTAACCCACTGTGGCAAACAGACTTATTGCCAGCCCCATATTCACTCTCCCTCCCTCCTTCCTGTGGTAGACACCTATGGGTCGTGGCCCCCAGTGAACCACACTTCCCATATTGTCTCTGGGCTGGACTGTGTGACTTGCTTTGACCAACAGGACACCAGTAAGTGTGATGTGAGCAGAGGCTTGATAAGCACTTGCATACTGGGACTGGTCCTCTTAAAACACCCCCACCTTGGAAACCAGCCGCTATGCCGTGAAGCAGCCTGGACTCAACTACAGGATGATGAGATGCCCCAAAGAGAGAGAAGCTGGATGAAGAGAAGCATCCCGCCTGGTCCAGCCACCGCTGAGCTCCCCACTGAGCTCCCAGCTGCACGCAGCTGTGTGAGTGACCTAGCTTTGGCATATGTGGGCGTAAGAACTGCCCAGCTGAGCCCAGCCAACACAAATAGCTGTGGGAAAGAGGCAACTGTTGTTATTTTGAGCCACTAAGTTTGGGAAGTATTTGTTATGCAGCCATGGATAACTGAAACACTTGCTAATAAAACCAGGTGTGTTAGGAGAGGCAGTGAGCCCAGCCAGCTACAATGATTTGCTTCCCCAAATTACCTTGTAGCTAGGAGTGGGCCACAAGCTAAGACATCAGCTGGGAAAACTTTTGCATTCCTGATCCAGGTAATGCACCTTTCAAACTGCCCCCTGGCTTCTCTTTCTTCCAGTGCAAAGACAAACATAACACAGGGAGGTAGAGCTGTCTTCTTTCAACCACAAGGCAATGAGTATGAGGATGAAGCCAAGGAATGTAAAGGAGAAGGAAAAAAAAATAACCTCATCCTTATTAGCATCATGGAGCCACCACCCCAGCCCTGGTCCCTACTTCAGGACTTCTTGTTACGTGAGAAAAACAAACTTGTATTTGGTTAATTTTCTGTTGCATACAGCCAAGCACATCCACGACGTGCCCCTTCACCGCCCCTCTGAAGATAACAATGCTCAGAGAAGAGAAGGGGTTTGCCCACAACTACAGAGTGAGTCAGTGGCAAAGCAGGACAAAACTCAGCCTCTTGGTTTGGAAGCACTCCTTCTACTACGCCATGCATAAAACACACAGGCCCTGGGCCAGGTCCTCGGGAGCAGGCACACCCCAGGAAATCACATCCAAACCAAACTGACTCGCCATGACTAATTCATCTCAGTGTTTATTTCAGATTCTTTAGGTGAAGAAAAGAAGTGACAGGCTATTAAAAGCATTGTAAAAAACCGAAGCAGCACTGGCCCGGTGCCTCTAAGTTGGGACACGGAAGTAAAATTGCCTATGGCTGGCTCGGGGAAGTCTGCCATGATGGAAAAAAGCAAGCATTGGCCTCCAAGGAGGCTGCACCTGAACAATCAGGGTGTAATCATCCAGCATCACAGGATTTCCTGAACAGCCCCTATTTCAAAGATTCTCTGCCATTGTCAGATCACATCGAATCTGATTTTTTATCCAGGAAATATGGTCATGCTAACTGCCAGATGTAGCTTTCCACACCTCCCCACCTGCTTGACAAACACTAAAATCTATTTAACAAAGAACAAAGCCTTTCATCCCACAGTTGAGAAGGCTGGGCATAAAAACATCTCTCTGGTGGGAAAAACCTACCAATATAACTTCTCGTGGGATTATAGGGAGAAGCACCCTTCCCAGATGTCACCATTTTGCTGAGCTTGGCCCTGAAGTGACCAATGCCAGGAGCACTCTGCTACTCTCTGCCCTCATCCCCAGGACCAGGCATAGAGACCAAACCTTTACTCTCTTCCAGGCCAGGCTTGGAGGTCCCTGGGGTTTTGTCAAATAGTAGATGCAGTGAAGGGACTCTTGGGGAACAGGCTGAAGCCCTGAGGGTCAGAGCACATGCCCTTTGACCAGTGCCCACCATGGCCACCCACTGCATCCCCCATGTGTGACGCCTGAATCCCTGCCAAATAATTCCCTACTCTCCACTCGAACACTGGAATTCATGACCTCCAAGCCAGACTATGCCATCCTTACTCTTTTTTCTAAGATGTGTTTATTTATTTATTTTAGAGAGAGAGAGCACGAGCCAGAGGGAGAGAGAGAATCTCAAGCAGACTCCGTGCTGAGCACAGAGCCTGATTCAGGGCTTGATCTCACAACCCTGAGACCATGACCTGAGCCGAAATCAAGAGTCAGACACTTGGGGCACCGGGGTGGCTCAGTCGTTAAGTGTCTGCCTTCAGCTTAGGTCATGATCCCAGGGTCCTGGGATCGAGCCCCACATCAGTCTCCCTGCTCCGCGGGAAGCCTGCTTCTCCCTCTCCCACTCCCCCTGCTTGTGTTCCCTCTCTCTCTGTCTCTCTCTGTGAAATAAATAAAATCTTAAAAAAAAAAAAAAGTTCTATCCATTGGTCCTTGTCCTATGCCCAGAGACCTTGTGAAAACATGGCTAGTGCCATCACCCTAGACACGGATCTTCTGCCTCTGTCTCAGCTTTCCCAAACTAGGTCAGCTCAGTTCCTCATACCACATGGCTTCCAGGCACCTCACAGTTATCTAAGCAGGAATGAGGATGAGAAACAGGAATGAGAGCCACAATGGGAATGGTCATCCCCATCCTGCAAAAATGCCCCTATCCCAAGACCCAAGCTATCACAAAAAAGGAATAAAAAGCTGAAGCCCAGGAAATACTCAGACATGGGCTTTACTGTTGCCCCAGCTCTAACCTTCCCCTATATCTGAGGGAAGGACAGTGGTGCTGGTAGAAAAGTGAAATCTCAGAACTTCTTAAGCCAAGAAGGGCCCTCTGAGCCATCACACTTGCTCCTCTTGCAAACAGCCAGCCAGACATCCAGCAAAGGGGCAGGATTGGCCTGAGGTCAATAGTGGCAGAACTGGGTCCCAAATTCCCAGCTCTGACACTAGGACCAATGATGTGGTCCTTTAAGCCATACCATTATGATTCCCTCCAGGATTACCCAAGAACAAGAGCTGGGACTCACGCATGCACGGGGAGCCTGGGTAGCTCCCTGCTCAGCCAGGGAGTCTGCTTCTCCCTCTCCCTCTGCCCCTCCCCCTGCTCCTTCTCTCTCTCTCTCTCTCTCTCTCTCGCTCACTCTCTCTCTCAAATAAATAAATAAAATCTTTATTTTAAAAAGTCTCCTAATAAAGAAACCTTTTAAAAAAATAAAGTAAAATGGAAACCAGACTGGGCCTCTCCTCCCTGCTTTTGTAAGTCCTGCAAAGGCTTCCCAGTGCTCTTAGAACAAAGCCTTAGACAGAGGCCCTGGAGACTCACCCAAAATCTGGACTCTCCCTAACTGGAGCCACCTTCCTTCTCCTTCTCTTTTCTCCAACCCCACTGACCTCCTTTCACTTCCTTGCAACAGTAAGCTCGTCCCTCCTCCTGGCCTTGGCCCATGCAGGTCCCCCTTCCCGGCACCCCGCGGCCAGCCCCCTCTCATCCTCCAGGTTGAAAGGACACCTCCTCTATAGCTCGCTTTGATGCCCCTTCACAGCCCTCATCACAATCCGTGCGCAGCAGTTATAAGCACGGCTGCCTTGCTCACCACGAGACATACAGATGCCAGCCAGGCCGACACTCGATACAGAGTGGGTTGAGTGGGTAAGTGAGGGAGTGGACAGACAGGTCAGACTTGGGATGGTGGGGAGGGAACCTGAACAGAGAGGTGCTGGGCATCACAGCATGAGCTGTTGAGCATTACTTGGCAGGTTTTCTATAGGCCTTTTATATATATATATATTTATTTATATTATGTTAATCACCATACAGTGCATCATTAGTTTTTGATGTAGTGTTCCACGATTCATTGTTTTTGTATAACACCCAGTGCTCCATGCAGAACGTGCCCTCCTTAATACCCATCACCGGGCTGACCCATCCCCAACCCCGCTCCCCTCTATAGGATTTTTAAATACATTTCTTCCAAAGTATGTGATAGAGACTGAATGTTTGTGTTCCCCCAGTGTGATGGACTTAGAAGATGGGGGCTTTGGGAGGTGATGGGGTCATGAGAGGGGTGCCCTCATGAAGGGGACGATGCCCGTATTGCCCCCTTCCACCGTATGAGGTCCCAGTGAAGACATGTAGCCTATGAACCAGGAAGCTGGCTCTCACCAGACAGTGAAGATGCCAGCACCTTAATCTTGGACTTCTCAGCCTCCAGAATTGTAAGAAATAAACTTCTGTTATTTATAAGCCACCCAGTCTATGGTATCCTGTTCTAGCAGCCCAAAGGTCATTATCACTCTTTGAGGTAAATATGCTTATCTCCACTTTACAGAGACAAAGGTGAGGTTCAGAGAGGCCACACAGCAAGCAGAGAAGCCAAAGTTCCCATCATGCTCAGACTGAACTGTCTCACGGGAGCAGGGCCCAATGTCTGCCCTGAGCCCTCGGGCGGCCTGACTGTCCCTCCACCTTACCAAACAGACCAGCACTGGCTCTGGTAAACCTCTGGCAATGGCAGCGCTGAGGGAAAGCAGGGACTGTTCAGAGCCCAGGACGCACAGCTTCCTGTGACACCGAGTGTAGCAACCAGTCTCACTGAGCGGCCCAGCCCAGGACCAGAGCCATAGAAAAGTCATTAACTACTAACACCACAGCCAGCACCGCCTCCCGCCAGACTAGGACCCCCACTCAGCCAGTAAGTACACTCTGGGAGATCTGCAGGGAGGTCACTCTGGCAGGCTGCCTAGCTCCAAGGGACAAGGAAGCCCCATCTGGCCTGGCCAGGGCCCAGGGTCGCTCACCAAGGGTCTGGCCTGCATGCCGGCCTCTCCCTCAGCCCCTGTCACTCGGCCGTCAGCTTCACACACTGGAACACTGTGCTGGGCCCTCCAGGCTGGCGGTGAGTGACCGGCCTGACACTGGTTCCCAGGCTCTGGTTCCAAAACTGGGCCGCAGGACTCCTGGCATGGAGTACAACCTTCTATTCTCTCTTATGGGCAGGGCGCCCAAGAGAGCTGCTGAAGCCAGACACAGCCGCACAGGGCACAGAGGAGGGGCCCGCTACCTGGGGAGGTTCAGCCGGAAGGAAAGAGGTGGTCACATGCTGTGGAGTTCCAGGGTCTCCAAGAGGAAGAGGTCAGGGGAGGAGAAAGCAATCCTGGTTCTTGATCAAAGGGGCTGGTTAGCAGCCACACTCCTGATGAAGCCCACCTTAGCAGGCAACAGGAAGGAAGCTAATGTCTACTGAGGGCGAAATGCTTCACATATTTTGACTCTCTACAACAACCTCCAAGGCTTATTCTTTCCATTTTACAGAGAAGGGAAATGTGGCTCGGGGAGGCAGAAGACGCGTGATCAGGGACCTGCTGGCCAGTAACTGGTGAGCCTCAGGCTTGAACCCAGCTCTCTGATGACCAAAACCTAGGCTTTTCTGCTGTAATAGCTGCCACGTGCATTCAAGAGGATGGTCCCCGTCTCTTTAGAAAACATAATGGAAGGCGTGCTGTAAGACCCCATTTAACGCAGTGAAGAAAAAAATAAAACTTGGGCACTGACTTATCAAGAAGTATTTTAAAGAGGCGCCTGGGTGGCTCAGTCGTTAAGCGTCTGCCTTCGGCTCAGGTCATGATCTCAGGGTCCTGGGATCAAGCCCCGTGTTGGGCTCCCTGCTCTGCAGGAGGCCTGCTTCTCCCTCTCCCACTCCCCCTGCTTGTGTTCCTGCTCTCGCTGTGTCTCTCTCTGTCAAATAAATAAAATCTTTGAGAAAAAAAAAAAAGACGTATTTTAAAACTATAAAACACCCTGAAATACATCAAATGCACTTGGACAATGGGAAGACATAAAGATCCAACATAAAAATGTCAGTTGTCCCTAAATTAATTTTTTTAAGATTTTATTTATTAATTTGAGAGAGAAAGAGACCAAGAGTGGGGGAAGGGGCAGAGGGAGAGGGAGAAGCAGACTCCCCACTGAACAGGGAGCCTTGATGACACGGGGTTCAATCCCAGGACCCTAGGATCATGACCTGAGCTGAAGGTGGATGCTTAACCGACTAAGCCACCCAGGTGCCCCCCTGAAGTTAATGTATACATCTAACATCTCTCCAATAAAAGCAGCTTCCATATTTTCAGGGAGCGGGGTCATGAGAAACAATATGATAATAAAATATATTTGCAAGCACAAACGAGCAAAATTAACCATAAAAATCTGGAAACAAGAGGAAAATGAGAAGGAGTGAGCCACAGGAGATACATCATCAATTTCTAATACTTTTTGGCAAGGCCTCTCAGGGACCGGGGGAGGTGGCAAGCACTAGAGCAGAAAGTTCTGCAAGCCAAGATCTCCCTTCTGGCAGCCTCCTCTGCCTGCCTGGATCATATGCCACACAGATCATTCTGGCTGGGGTACCCGTTCTCTAACTTTTTTTTTAGAAAAGTTCTCAGAATTTGACAGGCGCTTAATTTTTGTTGTTCAAAGGAAAGAAAAGCCAACAATAGGATGGCGTGGGCTTATCTGAGAAAGAAGCAGGCAGGCCCAAGAGCCCATGGGCCCCCCCAGGGGCAGTGTTTCTTACCCAGCTTTGGTTTAGAGACTGGGACCACACAGTGCTTGTTGCAGCCAAACGTGCAGCATTTCTTTGTACCTGGACAAGTCTCATCAGTGATGCACCTTTGGAAGCAGGAGTGTTTCCAAACAGCCCTGGGACAATCTCCTTTCCTCCCTGTAGCAAAAAAGGGAGACAGCCACAAAAAAAAAAAAAAAAGAGGGAGAGAGAGAGAGAGTAGTGGCACCCACAGGTGCAGCAAAAGGGAAAATCAAAGGAAGGAAGCCCTGAGCTTCTTTAGGACTCTCAACCCCGAAAGGAAAAAAAAAAAAAAAAGGACTCTCAACCCTGGCGCTAAAGCAGAGACAGTAACAATGATAAGAGCTCACATTTACTGTCACATTTACTGAGTTTACCTTGTGCCAGGAACCTCTCATTTGATCCTCACAACAATCCCAAGAGGTACAAACCATTATCTCCATTTAACAGGTGAGGAAATGGAGGCTTAAAAGCTTAACACTTAAAAAGAGCTGCTTACGGCTTATTTGCAGTGTGAAAAGTCTGCTTGGCTCGGGGTCTACTCTTTTGATCACTACCTCTAACAGGCTTCCTCTCACAACTTGGCCCTCCAGCCTTCACTTGGCCATACAGCCAATGAGCCCTGAGTACATATAAAAGGCAGAGATCATCAGTTATGTGTTCTTTCCTGATAGAAGACAAAGCACTGGGGACTGAGTGATTAAAGAAGAAACCCCCAAAGCAGGAAGAGGTGCTGCAGGCAAGCTGGATTTCCAGAGCCCATCTAGGAGGTAGGAGGCTCTCTGGGTCTTTCTAGCCCAGAGGCAAGGTCAGAGAGCACACCTGGATTTTGCCTCCCCGGCCAACATACCTTCTGGAAGGCCTCCTCGGCAGACCCGACTGCAGCCGGTGCCGCAGCACTTCTGCCTGGCCGGACACGACTCATCCCCCTGGCACAGCTCTCTGCACGGGTTCTTATCAGGGGGGCATTCTCCTGCTTTCACTGCAAAAGATATCCCACGAGGTTGGGGTGACTGGCTAAGCCTCAAGAAATGGGGAATGGAAGCTGAGCGCACTTCAGGGATGTTCAGCCTCTGCCAACATTCCTATGCAAAATAGCTCAGCAACCACTGTCCCCTCCCCCCCACACAACCCCTGAAACTCGCCCACCACTACCGAACGTCCAGCCACTTTGCGGATAAAAAGAGGGAAAGGTTGTGCTGATCCTGTTCACATTTAAGGAGCTCTAGGGAAACGCTAGAACCTCTAATAAGCCAGACTGGAAGTCCTACCTCCTTGTCCAGAGAGGGAAAAGAAAGCCAGGAAGACCTACCCCGGCTGTCCTGAGAATCTATGCATCCAGTCCTGTCCTACAGAAATGACCATTCTCCACAAATGAGGACTCTCGCTCCAGGAAGCGGTAGGGGATGACTTCTTAGTCACTTTCTGTTGGGATCCCAAATAATAGCTCACCATGCTCTCCTGCAGCCACCCAGGATGTCAGGGACCCAAGAGCAAGAAGTGACTTCAGGAAGAAGAGGCAGCTCGGCATGACGATGGCGCAGAGAGTTGAGATGAGCACTCAGTCCAGGCTGGAGGTGTACACCTTGCCCAGGGCAAGGTGTACACCTTGGGAAGGGCAGGACTAGGAGACTGGCCTAAACCCAGCCCCAAAGTCTTCCCTTTCGCAATATTCCCCAAGGATGTCTTCTCCTGACAAGAAGAAAAGTGACTGGTTGCTGGTGTGTGGGAAAATTCCTGGCACTCCCAAAGGGCACATGTGATGATGATCATCAAACTCTGTAATGCAATATACACAACATCCCTGGACAATGAGGAGGAACCTGGTCGGTAGCTGGGGAAATGGAGGGATGGCCACTGACACAGGATCAAAAGGAGCCCTAAAGGGCTTTGGAAGGACACAGCTGCAGTCAAAGTGACAGAGGGAAGGACCAGAGACGTGACTTAATAGTAACCAAAGCTAATAAAATGCAGTGTGGCTCCTGTTCATCCTAGCAACCTAGAAAACAGAGAATGGAGCAGACTACTTAGAAACCATCAAAAAACTACAATAAAGCCATATCTGAGTTTGTTCAGAACTAATACAAATGCACCAAGCACCTACATCTTGGTCTGTCTAGACCTACATACAGGCCATTTTTGGTTTGTGTGAAGGCTAGTTGACAGAACCCAAAAGAAGTGGCTATGACTCAAGTAGTCTAGACCATCTATACTCCCTTTCTTCATCTCCTCTTCCTCTATTTCGTTTTACTTTCATCTGTCCTGCTTATGACTTTGGTCAGACATGATATTTAATAGTATCCACTGAGACTGCTTAGCCCAGTAAGATCAAAGAGTAAAGTAAAAAAATCTCCTTAATAGAGCCAAAGAGTTTGGTGCCAAAGAGTTGCCTTATTATTTTAAGGCTGATATTGGAGCATGGAGGTAATTAACATTTGTTGATGACTTAACATGTGCTTTATATGTATTATTTATTTTAAACCTCACAATAATCTTGCAGAGGTGATAAAACTGGTTCAGGGGATTTGAGAAAGAATGCCCAAAGCCATAAAGCTAGTAAGTGGTGGTTACTGAAATTTAATAATAGTAACGACAGATAGCATTGCTTGAGGGTTTACTTGTGCCACAGTTCTAAGTGCTTAACATGAATTAACTCACTTAATCCTCACTGCAATCCTATGAATTAGGTACTATTATCCCCGCTCTACAGATGGGGAAACTGAGGCACAGAAAGAAACGTGAGTCACACAGTTAGGAGGTGGTAGACCAAAGGCAGGCAGCCCAATTCCATAGTCAATGTTCTTAATCACCATATCATCCTGGATTTGAACTCAGATCTTTCTACACGAAAAACTCGTACTTTTTACTACCCCATATTGTGACCTGATAAAAGTAACATCTTATCTCTAAGCCAGAGCTAAGGGGAGCTCTGGGGAACTCCACAGCTGTTAAATCCCTACATCCCCTCCCCATCCCAGAATCACCTGTCTGAAGAGAGAAGCCCAGCTCCCTGGGGCTTGGGGAGTCAACGGGCCAAGACCCAAACTTCATTATGATGCCTTCAGATGCAAGAGGCAGCCCCTGAGGCCTAAGCCTGGAGGGACCCGGTGGCTGTTTGGGACGGCATGGGTCAGACCCTCCTCTTGTTGGGTTTTCAGGTCCCCGCATTACGCCCACTCTACGGCTTTCAAAGACTGAACTGCAGGCGCCGCTGTGCTCCCCTCCGCACCCAAACCCCAGCCCAGGGAGCCTGCTCCCCTTCTCCTTCCCCGCACTTTTCCACCGGTCTCCGCCCAGCGGAGAGAGCTCACGGACCAAACACCCACAGTCTGCACCCGAGGCGCGGCCGCGCCCCAGACAAAGCCCCGGCCCCAGCGCTCACAGCGCCGGCAGGCATCCGAGACCCCAGCGAGAAGCGGCCTTGCGGTTCCCATGGAAACCCCGCGGTTCGCCGCGGCGCCCTTCCGGGTCGGCGCGCGGCGCGCTCCAATGACGTCACGGGGCTACTTTCCGGCCGGTGGCAGAGTCGGGCTGAAGTTGTGGGGCCGGGGGAGCCATGGGCGCCACTGGCGACGCCGAGCAGCCGCGGGGACCCGGCGGGGCAGAGCGGGGCGGCCCCGAGCTGGGCGACGCGGGCGCAGCGGGGCAGCTGGTTCTCACGGTGAGGACGCCCCCGGGGAGGCCGGGGCTGGGCCTGGGCTCGGGCCGGCTGGGCCTCGGGCTCCCGGGACCCTGGCCCGCGGGCGAGAGAACGCGGCGGCTGGTGCTGCCCAGGGGGTTGGCGTTTTCGCAGTCCGACGACCTGGATTCAAATTCTGGTGCCGCCCTCCTAGCTAGGTGACGTGAGCCAGTCCTGTCAACCCCTGAGCTCTCCAGTTTCCTCTTCTGTAAAATGGAGATGATTAGTGCCGCCTCATAAAGTTGTTATGCGGATGGGGTGTAAATGCGAAGAAAGCGCCCAGCACACCACCTGCCCCAGAGTAGTCCCTCCGTAAACACTGGTTCCCTTCCTCCTGCCGTCCCAGAAAAGGTGGGGGTTGGGACTTTCGAGGCAGGAAACTTTACCTCAGTTCCTCCACGCCGGCAGGGCCTTGCAGCCGCTGCCCTCCCGCCTATCCCAGGGTGGGAGAGGTGCTAAAAGTACCCGAGAAGCAGGGGTGTCTCCGTTTAACTTCATACCCTCCACCTCTACCCCAGTGTCAGGGGCCTCAGTGAAATATGTTCCCTTGGTCCCCACAGAACCCCTGGAACATAATGATAAAGCACCGGCAGGTGCAGCGAAGGGGCCGCCGCTCACAGATGACAACAAGGTAAGGCTGGTCCTGGGTATTTGCCTCCCAGGCATTGGCTTGGATGGCACCTTTGGGGTGCCCACTGCACAGAGCTGAAAAGAGATCATCAGCCATTAGAAAGAACACTGGACTAGGAAAGAGGAGAGTCAGCTTCTGTAATTCTGTGTGTGACCTTGGGTTGAATCATTGCCCCCTCTGGACTCACGTACAAAATGAGGAGGTACCATGGACTCAACAGTGCCTGAGATCCCTAACGTTCACTGGGTTTTGTGGTTGAGGGCTCTAAAGAGGCAGAATAGCATGGAGGTTCAGAAAAAAGTGGGGCTAATAGTAGTATATTTCTCAGTGAAGGGAGAGAGCACAAGATGGACCTACGGGATGCTGATTATATTTCTTGACCTGGGTCATGATTAAGTGGATGTTCACTAAAACTATTTGTTAAAGTGTATAGACTTTGTATTTCATTAAACACTTTAAAAAGTAATACTCATTTCATAGGGTTATTATGAAAATGGAATAAAGAGGGCGCCTGGGTGGCTCATTTGGTTAAGCGACTGCCTTCGGCTCAGCTCATGATCCTGGAGTCCCGGGATCGAGTCCCGCATCGGGCTCCCTGCTCAGCGGGGAGTCTGCTTCTCCCTCTGACCCTCTTCCCTCTCATGCTCTCTATCTCTCATTCTCTCTCTCTCTCAAATAAATAAATAAAAATCTTTAAAAAAATAAAAATAATAAAAAAATGGAATAAAGACATACATCTGTGTAGTTTGCACAGAACCTGGGCATGTAGCTTGTTTTCAGGTGAAGCTATCTAATACTGTCATTAAAGGAGCCTGTGTCAATAATTGGCTGGGCAGACTAGGAAAGATATGTTTGGGTCATGACCCCTGACTGTGTCTCCCTCCTGAATGCAGTTTCACAGATCCCGCCATCTCCATGGACCTCCTCCGAGCTGTCCTGCAGCCTAGCATCAATGAGGAGATCCAGACTGTCTTCAACAAGTACATGAAGGTGAGAGCGACGGAGACCCATGGGTGGGCCTTTCCTACATCACAATCCCCCTGGCTCTCTCTAGTACACACAGAGGTGTAAAGTCTTCCAGTTATGAACTCCTGAGAACTTTTACCCACTCTCTTTGGGGGTCATTTAAATACCTCTTCTGCCAAGCTGTTACGAGGACAAAATAATTTAAGCATAATGTGCTCAGCACCATGCTTCAAATAAGTGTTTTTATTACTTGTTTAACAGTATCAACATCATTATTATTATTTAAAATTCCTTTCTAGGCTTCTAAGTAAACTTCTACATGACTCTACCTGATTGTCCCATAGATCCTTCAAACAGCATATTCAGAACTGAACTTTTTCTTCCTAAACCTCTTCCTCTTGTGTTTATTCATTCAAGAAGTATTTACTGAGCTCCCACCATAATAGCACTGTTCAAGGCACTGAGGATGTAATAGTGAATGAAATGAACAGTGTCCCTGCCCTCTTTAAACAGATACGTACTACATTAGGGAACGCCGGAGAGCAGGGGGAGCGGGTGACCAGTGGGGAACAGTAGTGGTGTTTCATAGATAGTGTCCAGGAAAGCCACATGTGAGCAGAGACCGGAATAAAGGGAGGGAAAAACAAGCTATGCGGACACATCAGGGGAAAGCAGTCCAGGCAGAGGACACAAGGGCAGACGCCCTGAGGCAGGAGTGTGCTTGGCACATTGAAAGCAACAAAGTCTCCAGTGTGGCTGGGGCCGACTGGGGCAGGGGGAGGGTAATAGGAGAGGTAATCAGAGAGGAAATAGGGGCCCAATTCATGCAGAACCTTTTGAGGCCAACCTTTAAGGATGTTGGGGTTTACTCTGAGTATAATAGAGGCTCTTGGAGAGTTTTGAGCAGAGCACTTAATCTGAACATTTTTAAAGGGTCGCTCTGACTGATGTGAAGAGAATCACCTGCAGGAGGACTCGTTAGGAGGCTTGAGATGATAGTGGCTTGAGTGTTAGCAGTAAAGGTATTGGGAAAGAGTGAGCGTCCATGTGGATTTTAAAGGTAACAACGAGCTTTGCTGATGACTCAGATGTGCAGGGTAAAAGAACAAGAGGAGTAAACTCGGCAGTTATCTGCCCTGGGCAACTATAAAAACAAGCCACTGACTTGCTATGAGGAAGACAGGAATGAGCAGGGGGAATCGGGAGCTCAGTTTGGGACACGTGAAGTTTGAATGCGACTCCCATTCACTGAGAA